AATAGAGGTGGGACAACCAGGAAATAACACATGTCTGAGGCTCAAAGAGGAGAGGTGTCAGGAATGAAGAGTTACCGACCACAGAGGGCTTCTGAAGTGTCAAGGAGAATGACAAGTGGGGTTTGATGTCCAGGAGGCAATTGAAAACTTGGAAGCAGTTATAGGAGAAGAGGGAATGTAGAGGCCAAATTGCAGAAAATGAGGTATCACAGCGATTCTTTGTATTATCAGTATTATCATATTTACTACTAAAGTCCTGGTGGCTATCAGGAAAAGATTAATCTGGTAAATACATAATATAGTTTGAGAGTGTTTTCTACACCAATAAAAATTTGATGTTATCTCAATTTAAGGTCACTTTACTCTTTCAAATATGTGGGTTTTAATATCTATCAAATGGGAGGTTCAGCGAACAAGTTTAATAATGAATGCTTAAGTTTGGACATTATTCTCACCTGTGGGACTTCTGGCTGAGAAAAATGGCAGGAAACCTTGCTGTTGATGTGGGAACAAATTTATATTTTTCAGCTCGACATCTGTGTTTAGTTTATTTTTGTACTCTCTCAGGTTGCTATAATTCCATTTTATAACAGCTGAAATGTAAAGGGCCCTGGGAAAATTTTTGCTTGTTAAACTTATTTAGTTCCTGTCCCTGTCACCCTTGTTGACTCTTCAGGTAGTAGTCTCTAATTAGAGACTCCTGGTATACATAATACTTATCTTCAAAATAAAACAAAAAAAGGAAGGGAAAAACAAAAACCCCAAGCAAACAAATAATGGAAGGATTCTATAATCTTAGAATTATAGACTCCTTAACTTGCTAAATAGTCCTTTAAAGCTGTCTTTCTTAAAGAAAAAAACAAACCCAACCAAACTAGAATTTTCTACAGAATCAGATAAGTGCAGCTTGGAGTTGCAGGTTTAATCATTTCTCTATTAATCACTGTTTACATTGTTTAATAATATTGAGAAAATGGTTTAAAACAATACAAGACTTTTCAAAGCATTTTTTTGGGTCTCTTAGCAATTAAATTTGTGCCAAGATACAAGCAGCAAAACAAATGGTTTTGTTTTGTAAAAGATCCCAGGCTGTCTATGCTTGGTCAAAGCCTGCTACATTTAGTGTAACTGCTCTTTTGGTAAAGGAAATTGAAATGTCAGACAATATAAAATAGTGTGAACGTAATACCTTTTTTTGGCTTATTTACATTTTAGGTTTTTTTTTTTTAATTCAGTAGAGTTGCTTCTTATATGCATTTAGTGAAGCAACTTTTCCTTATGGTGGTAAAAATAAAGCAAAGCTTTTTTTTTCCCCTCAGGAAGATGTTCTTTGCCATGTAACATTGAGCACTACTTTGAGTGGGGTCTTAATTTGAGTGTTTGTTAAAGTGCTGAAGCAGTTCAAAGTGTATTAAGAGCAAAGTTAAGCTTTTTCTGCAGTTTTCTCTGGGGTTTAACTTTGCACATTTATTATTGTCTGTTTTTTTTTTAGATAAAATGTTGGCTTTATGAATTTATCATATAGGAAGAATTTCATTTGAATATTATAACATAGAATTTGAAAAATATACATTTAAGAGTGGTTTAAATATATGGATTTATGTATGTGATTTTTTTAAATTGAAAGGATGTATATTATATGGTTAACAGCAGGTTATTATTGTTTGACGGTGGAATTATAGGTGATTTTTTTTCCTTTTGCTTATGGGGAGTGTATAAAAAAAGAAAAACCTATTCTAGCTTGTAGGAGTCCACAAAGGCTTTTTTGGTTCACAAAGGGCCAAAATTTATTTTCAGTACTCACCAACCCTAAAGGAAATAGTATATTCATGAATAATTATACCTCAGAGTTATACAACATAGGGTGACATCAGGTTTCTATTGGCTTTAGCTAGAATATGTAAGTTTTCCAATAATGCTGGTTATTAGATGGCAGCTGCTTTCTTTGGTAATTATATGTCTGGGCATTATAAATACATATGTGTATGTATATATGTTTATTTAGTACTGCTTAATTTAAGATGACCTAAACTTAACATTTCTTTAAATTAATTAACATTTCATAAAATTAATTAAAATTAATTTTAATTTTATTAAACTTTATTGGGTAACATTGGTTAATAACATGAGTTTCAGGTGTACAACATTATAGTACAATGTCTGTATACTCAATTGTGTGCTTACCACCCAAAATCTAGTTTACTTCCATTACCATATACTTAAAACACTTTTGTTTCTTTAAACACCTTTTTGGTCCATACTTTGAAACAATAATTAAGTAATGTTCAGGTATCATTACAACATAATGCCGAAACTCACTCATCTCAGGGAATTTTAACTAGGGCAAATGAGGTGGGATAGAAAACATTCTTTGAGCTTCTACTTATTCATGATACTATACTGGGTACTCTACATATACTATCTTTAATTTTCATGACTACACTATGAAGTGTACAGGTATTAGTTTTAATTTACATATGAGAAAAAGAAGAGAGAACCAATGAGTTATTTGAAGCCACTATCAAAAGTGAGATTGATATCAAAAGAGAGAAGACTCAGATGAAGTAACTTGAATGGTGTTAAGCACTTGAAATAATATTAATATGTAGTTGATATGGCTACCAGTAATCATCACAATATAATTTTTTCTTTAAGAATATGTATAATTTGTTAAGTGTGATAGACCAGCATTGCATATATAGAGCTTCTTAATAATATAACAACATTTAGAGATTATTTAAAAAAACTATCAGAGCACTCCCTCACCCCATGAAAATAACTGTCTCTGATTATTTAATAGATACAATTGTGAAGAATTCAATTAGTACATTGAAATATAAGGAAGAAATTAAGTTCACCCAAAATCTCACCACCTATGATGCAAAAATGGAGAATCATCAAAATATTTTTGTATTACTTTATACAAATTTTATACAATTTTACTTACAATTTTATACAAATAGGATTATATCACACCAGAGATATTTACAAAATACCATCTCTCCCACTCTCTCAACCCCCCCCACAACACCCAATTGGTACATACCATCATCTTTACCATCACAAGCTAGTATATGTCCTGTGTTTCTCTCCATGCTCAAATCTTTTACTCATATAATCCTATACAAACCCATATATACAGTTATAGTGAATTTTAGCCACTATTAGTCTCTATCAGTGAACATTTGAGTACTTTTTAAGTGTAAGGCTTTGTGCTAGTTGTGTGAGAGCTGCAAGAAGAGTAATGTATGGCCTGTATTCTCAATCACTTTGCAATCTGTGAGGAAAGGTGAGCAGGTGAGTAACTTGTGTTTTACAAGACTTACTTTGATATCTGCTGTTGGGTAGAAATATTAGGTGGAAACACAGCCTGGGAAGCTCTGCAGGGGAGCTTCCAGAGGGCAAAGGCTTTGCCTTTTCGAATCTTATGGGCATAAACACTTGACAGACACTTGGGGTTATGCTGAGTGTCTGTAAATAAATGTCTGTAAATAAAGTCGTGTTCAAGTGAAACAAAAAAATTATTCTGTTGACTGGTTTAAGTGGATTAGCTCTTATAGTTCGAGAGCCCAGTAGAGAAGTAATTTGTGTATTTGCTTTGTTTCTTCAGAGTGGAATTATCCGTTTTCCCATCAAGGATTTCATTTTTTTCCTTTAAGGTTTAGGCATTTTGTAGTAAGGAGGAGTCTATGATATTTTGCTGTTCAGTTTTGTCTGTATAGTACATGGCAGTTTGTAGTTTAAGACACTGTAAGTAGTCATACTTTCTAACACAGAAATCCTTTTTTGCTCAAAAGTAGGCTTAAACATTGGCTTTGATCTTAGATTTAGTTCCTAGGTTGAATGAGAATTTACATATTTGCATATGCCAGATATAAAACTTAGATAGCAAGCATATTGGGGAGAGTCAGAGGAGAAAATAAATTTTCAGTGAAATATATGAATTTCAGAATGTTTGAAAAGAAATAGGTTTACAGTTGCAAGCCACAGAATTTATTCTTGTATTATTATTTATTTATTATTTTATTATTTTCCATATGAATAACTGTAAACCCACTGTTGCCCCACTCTGTATATAAAGGAAATAAAACAGGGCTAAGATCATATTTCTCTCCTAAAGGGAAAACTATTTCATTTAACATTGAAGTGATTGGTCTGGTGAAATATGGAAACTTCATGGCTCAAGAGGGAAAACAGTGAAGGCTGTCTACTTTATAGTGAAAGAAGAGTGTTTTAGGGCAAATGATTTTGATCTTATTGTGACCCTGAAAGAATCCTCAAGTTGCCATAGTGGATACAATCTCACTTTTGATAGTGGCTTCAAATAACTCATTGGTTTGTGTTTAACTCTTAAGAAAGTTCTGCTTTTATAGAAATACTTGTTCTGTATTCCCACCAGCAGTGTATAAGAGGTCCAGTTCCACATCCTTATCAGCATTTGGTATCATTGGTCTCTTTAGTTTAGCCATTTATGCAGTGGTATCTCATTGTGGTTTTATTTATTTATTTATATTTAATTATTGTTCAAGTATAGTTCATTGTGTTTTTAATTTGAGCTTCTCTGAATACCAGTGATGTTGAATATATTTTCATGTGCCTGTTGGCCATTTGTGTATCTTTAGCAAAGTAATTGTTCAGATCTTTTGCCAATTATGTTTTTATTGGGCTGTTTGTCTTTTTTTAAATTGGGTTGTTAGAATTCTTTACATGTTCTGCATACGGATTTTTAAAAAATCAGATACATGTTTTTATTCTTTTATTTTTCTTAACAGTGTCATTGGAAGAGCAGTTGTTTTGATGTTCAGTTTATTAATTTTTCTTTTAAACATTGTACTATTTTGTGTAATATCTAAGAAATCATTGCCTAATTCGAAGTCACACGGTTTCTCTGTTCTCTAGAAATTTTGTAATTTTAAGCTTTACATTTTGATTTATGATCTTTTTAAAGGTAATTAAAAATTTTTAATCCTTATCTGAGGACATTTTTTCATTGCTTTTAGAGAGAGAGGAAGGAAGAAATTGATGCAATAGAGAAGCATCGATTTGTTGCCTCCTGTACACTCCCAAACCAGGGATTGCACGTGCCTATACCAGGGATAGAACCCACAACCAAGGTATTTTGGGTGAGTTAATGATGTATTCTTCATAGGCTTCTTTTAAATAACAAATTCTCCTCCATTATACACATCATGTTCCCGACTACAGGCACACAGAGTAATTGGAGGTTAATATCTTTATGCCATATTAAGTATTTCAGTATACATACCTATTAAAATTTAAAAAATTGTATTTATTGATTTTAGAGAATAGGGGGGAGAGAGAAAGAGAAGGAGAAACATTCACTCATTTTTCCACTTACCGATGATGCAGTCAGTGGTTGACTACTATATGCGCCCCAATCAGAGACTGAACCCACAACCCTGGTACACAGGGATGACTTTCCAACCAATTGAGCTACCCAGCCATGGCTACATACCTCTTTTATAGCACTCACATTGCATATTGTTCATATGCCTATTTCTGACTAGATGGAGCTGTTGGAGGGAAAGGACAGTGTATTATTTACCTTTATTGTAGAGAAACTGTCATATCGAGGACATGCAGAAAAAGTTTGGATTAATTAATGTAGTTGCTTCAAAATACACAGGCTTTCTAATGAGTAATTGCTTTGTTAGACTTGATTCTTGCAGTTCTTACAAGTTTCACCAACACTTATGAATCAGAGTCATAATTCTTTCACCTCTTTGTAAAATGGGCATAAGTAGGCTTTTGGAGTAGGCCTCAGTTTGAATTCCAACTCTACCAACTTATCTCTGCTTTTTCTCATGCATTTAACCATAAAATTCACTCTTTTAAAGTATACAATTCAGGAGTTTTTAGTGTATTCACAAGGTTGTGTGTCCATCACCACTATCTAATTCCAGAATATTTCTCACCTCAAAAAAGAAACCCCTTACCCTTACCCTTACCCATACCCATACCCATTCCCATTCCCATTAGCAGTCACACCCCTGCTCCTCTTCCCCTATCCATTAGCAACTACTAAGATGTCTCTTTTTTGTTCAAGGAAAAGATACTAAAATGATCTAATTCTATAACCAATTTTTAATAATATCACCCCTTTGAAATATGTTAAAAGGAGGCATTAATTGGTTTTTCTTCTTGTAGGAAAGAACACCAGAAATGGATATCACTGGGCAAACAATGAGTGGAGGTAAAATTTACTTATCTAAAAAATGATAACATTTTTTTGTTTTCATTTGGAATGGATATTTTCTGGTAGACTGAACTTTTGAAAAAGCCTCTTAAAAAATAAAAGTTATAGGAATGGTTAGGTGATTAAAATTGGAATTTTACAACTGAGAACTATTAAAGGTAATCTTGTCTTCCCTTACTAGTTTATAAATGAGAAAACTGACACTCAGGGAGGTTAAGTGAACAAGTCAGTGTCATAATCTGTGACAATGCCAAATTCAGAATCCAAATCTTCTAACTCTAATATGAGTGATTAAAAATGCTTCATCCTAACTTGCTCTAATGGGAAGGTTGCTTACTGTCCTATGAATATGCCACACTCATTTGCACTCTGTTTTAAGTTATACTTCCTTTCCCATAGTACATATTTCACACCTTTGCCATCTTAAACCCTATTTTTCCTTTAACACCCAGTTGAAGTCCTGTGTCTTTCATGAATTTTTCTCTGGCTGAATGCTGAATGTATCCTCTGCTTTTCACAATTTTGTTAGGTGTATTAATTTAGTGTAGTCTCTGTAACTAGATGTTTTTTAAATCATTTTTCATTGTTATTCTATTACAGTGGTCCCAGTTTTTCCCCCTTTGCCCTCCTGCTTTCCCCCTCACTCCCACAGTCAATTGCCACACTATTGTCTATGTCTGTGGGTCATTCATGCATGTTCTTTGTCTAGTCCCTTCCCCTAGCTTCTCTAGAGCAGAAACTATGCATTTATAGTTTTACTTTCTTTCCTATCAGAAAATCATATGGAGAACTATTTAGTAAGTATAAGTATGTACTTACTTTTTACTCACCAAATTATTTAAATAGGTAGCATCTCATATATCCCTTTCAAGTGTTTATGTATTTTGAAGGGTTACTCAATTATAACTGGAAAGTAGATCTGTTACCCTAAATGGTATACCTAGCATCATTTAAGAATGATGCATAAGAATGATCCTTCTTTAAGAAGCTTGTCACTTAAGAATTCAAGTGCCAGTAAGGGTAAAACAGCAATAGATGGAAACATATTAAGTATGGTTAAATCCATGAGTTTATAATGATACTTAAAAAAGCTTGCTGGTTATTTGTGGAGAATGCTAGGGATACAACTCATTATTTTGAAAATGAGAAAATAGAGGAAAAGAATAAAGCATTGATTATGATTTCTGTATATGATCTGTATTTCAGGGTATCTGAGTGGTTGATGAGGGCAGGTTTCTTTACATACAAATTTTCTGGCTAACAAAGATGGGATGATAAAATTAGAGTATCTCCATTTTATAACCACTAATGAACTAATGGGTCTAGGCAATAGCCATCCATGGCTGGTCATAACACAAAAAGGGAAGGAACTAGATATTAATAATTCGGAGCCTTCTTTTTTTTTTTTTTTTAGTTCCAATAAAAATCAAGGAGGAGGTTGAAGATGAAATTTCTCCACCAGACACATCTGTGCAAAGTGGTAGGTTTTAAGTAGTTCAGTATAACACTTTTTTCCTCCTCAGTGTTAATATGAACTCTTACTGTTTTTGACATAATCTCTTATAGCAGACTCCTGTAAATATAAAATCCAAGCAATAAGAAAGGTCAAAAAGTAGTATTTTATTTTGAAAATTTTACTTTGGTTTTACTTAGAGATAAATTGGTATAGGATTAAGTGAAAAGATAACCATGTATTTCAATGTAAATTTCACCAAATTAAATATATCTGATTAAATTATCTTCTACTATCAATTTAAAATAACTTGATTATTAATAAAAGCCCTTCTAACATTAGAAATCAATCTGAACATCCTTTTTTGATGGTCAAAAGACAATTGATAAAAGTGGATGAAAGCTTAGGTATTTCGAGGTCTGACAGACCTATTCTAGAAACCTGGCTTAACACTTTTTACTGGCCTTGTGAGCATGGGCAAATTACGCATTGTTTCTTTTTTTCTTCTCTGTAGCACTAGGATAATACTACTTACCTCATGGGATTATTAGAATTTAAATAAAAAATGAATGTAAAGCACCTAATATAATTCCTAATATATCATAAATGTTTAATAAATGTTAACTTGATTAACACTGAATTAATTCTTTATTGTAAACAGCATGTGTATAGCATTATATCATAGACTCAAGAGGTAGGATCTGACTTGTACTTGCTCTTAAGGAAAAAGAGAAAATAAGTCATACACACACAAAAAGCTGAATAAAAAATACTGTTGCAAACTTTGTGTTTACCAGAGATTTCCAGGCAAACCTCTTGCCCTTTGTCTTTCTGCTGTACCTGCCTTGCCAGCCCAACTCATGTAGTAGTTCATATATGACTTTCTGTTCCCACAGGAAGATTGCCTGTAGAGATGATCCCCATGGACTTATTCTCTCTTAATGCTGGGCCCTTGTTGCTTCCTTAATTTTCCCACTGGCCTTGTTTGTTCTTCAGCTCTTTCCCCTAACCTCTAAAACCCACCAAAGCATTGGAGGCCATTAGCTTAGGTTGTTCTTCCTCATCCCTACAAAAAATTTAAAAATATAACAGTTTTGTTGAGATGTATTCACATACCATACAATTCACCTATTTAAAGTATACAAATCAGTGGTTCTCATTATATTTACAGAGTTGTACAATCACCACCACAATCAATTTTAGAACATTTTTATCCTACAAAGAAATCCTGTATCCAGTTAGCAATTACTCCCCATTTCCCCTAATGCCTTCCCAGGTCTAGGCAGCCACTCACTTACTTTTTGATCTCTCTAGATTTGCCTATTTTTAAAATTTCATAAAAGTAAATTTAAAAATATACTCGAAGGTTGAAACTACTACCTTTAAGGAATTCTCAAATTTTTGATTTAAAACATGAGGTTACTTTATCAAATTGACACACATCTGCATATATTTCTTAGGTCTCTGACTTTAACATCGTATTTTAGAAATCATTGAGTGACTTTTAGAAGGTAACCTCCAAGAGAGGCGGGATTTTTGTCTATTTTTTTAACTGCTATATCTCCAGTACCTAGGACAGTGCCTGGCAAGTACTGGTGTCCTCCAGGGGGAATCCAGTAATGAATGAGACAAACATAATCACTGCCTTCTTTGAGTTTAGGAGGCCAGATAGACATTAAATAAATGCCCAACTATAGTTGTGATAAGTGCTGTTAAGTAATGGGTACTGTGATCATTCAGCTGAGAAGCTTCTTCCTGCAGATATTTTGCCCATCTTCTTTACTAGAATCTGAACCCAAGCCTCACACTGGTAGAAGACATTATGATTCTGATTTACTCTGAAGAAGACCAAGGGACTTATATAGATTATGTTTAGTTCACCAAAAGGTGTCTGGACAAATAATGGACTAGAATAGAGTACAAGTCAAAACAAGAAGTTTGAACCATGGACATGTGCAAATAAAAATCAGATCACAAGGTTATAAAAGTACACCTGTCTCATGAGCAAACCTATTAGTTCCCAGGCTTCTTTACTGAGAGAGAATCTCTCCACCCTGTCTCAGTTTGTCAGTATGGATAAGATGCAGAGGCAGACTGAGACCTCAGGCTTGACTAAGACTTTTGGATTATTTTGGCTTCTGGTCAGGAATTCCAGCTGTTGTATTGCAGATGTGCCAGATCTAAATTACTAAAGCCTATTGCTATGTGTGTCCCCCTATGTTATTGGTAGAGTCTCAGCACATGGGCAGCTAAGCTGAACAGCTTTGCAGACTACAAATTTTGCCTTATGAGTAAAAAAATTAAGGCTCCAATAATTAAATCCTACATATGGTCATTAGCTAGTGATGTAACAAAATGATCATCTTACACAGTGCACAGTGTAAAGGATTTGCTAGCTGAAATTAAAGTCCATTCAGACTCACATTGTGATAGGATACTTAAAAATTATGTTAGAGAGATGGATTAAGTATTTTAAATGTTATTGAAAATTTTTACAAGAGTAACTAGTTTATGGAAGAATTCTTTGACATTTAACTGTGAAATGGTTTTAGCTTCCCAGCCATTGTTTTCAAATTGCACTCCTCTATTCCTGGGATGTTAGGTCCTAATGACATCCTAGCCAGATACCCCCACTCTCAGTTGATGGGGGTTTTGTTCTTTTTTTTTTTATGCTCTCCACGACCATATGTTGGTAGAGCTTCAGTTAGAATCTTGGGTTTCCTGATTGTCAGGTTAGTATTTAGAAGGTCAGTGAAATATCCCGGTCAGCTTAATTTTAGAGCCATGTTTCTCAGTTTTCACTTCTGAAAATACTATCCAGTATTCATAAATTTAGGACAACCATTACATTTAGTTTTATAATAACATACGATTTATTGAGAGACTTGCATGTATGCTACTTCACTTAATTCTCAAAATTCCTTGTACCATATTTACTACATTCCTCATTTTATAGAAGAAGGGACTGAGGCTAACAAAGTGAAATGACTTGTTCAGGGTTACATGGCTAGAAAGAGTTAGGGCCAGACTGGAAGAAGGTAGGTTTGACTCCAGGGCCCATATTCTCAACATTCTGCTGTACTGTTCAGCAGTGTGGTAGCACTCACTTTGCATTATCTGGAAGTGGACTTAAACACAGTAATTTTTTAACGGAACAATCTCTTAGACTTATTATTAAATTACAAATGCAGGATGTACAATGTTGTGTAGGACATGCTTAATACCTTATGCAGTATGTGTATGTTCACATACAAATGTGCACATGTATCTGGTATGCTGAAGCTGGTTCACACCAGCTTGGGAGAGTTGATTGTGCACATTTTTTTCCAACTGTGGTTAGTGACTGTACCTTGGCACCTTGTAGTAAGCTATGGCGGTAATATTTACATCATAGAAATCTGCACACTATCAGTTAGGCTTTTTGTTTGTATTTTCTGGAAACCTGGTTGTTAAAAATTTATCAGCACTTTGTTTATGTGTGTGTTTAAGATTGTTATATCCTTTAAAGGATATATATAACAGGTTAGAAACATAAATTCCCCCAGGATGGGGAAATGTCTAAACCAATATTTTATAGTGATGAAATTAAATGAGAGTGTAGAAAAACCTCATGGTTGATGAGAATTAAACTTTGTGTGAGATAATAGTACCTTTAATACAGCTATTAAGTCTTTCTCTCAGTGTCTTTGACATCTGACTGGCACAGTGAATTGAAGTGTTCAAGCCAGGTGGAATACTGCTTTGTGATCTATTTCTCTAGCATTGTAATATATCATGAAGACTAGCAAGATGAAGGACACAAGTGTGTAGAAAATTAGATTGTTAAAATAATTCATATCAGTGACTGTACCAGTGACTGGTTTACTGTTTTTTTCTACCATCATATTCTAACACCTGAATGGAGATCAACTACTCAACTAAGAAAAAACCCTGGGTCTCAGATTTTTTTCTTTCCATAAAATTCTGTTAGACCACATACCAAAACACCTTCAGCCCCCCATGAAAAACAAATACCATCACATTAATGAGTTGAAATGGTAAAAAACATGTCTTGAGTAAATTTATATTAGAGACAGATAGGTAGAATTTGCTGTTGGTCTATAAAAAGTCCTTTAGTTGTTTCTAGAGTCCACATTTTTAGAATCACTGTGCTGTAGTCCTCCTTACATTGAGAAGATACAGCTTGTAATTTATTTATTTTTTTATAATTAATTTTATTTAGTTATTTTTCAAGTACAGTTTTTTGTCTATTTTTCCCATCCCCACCTCCCCCGCCCCTTGCTCCCCACCTCCCTCCCATTTCCACCCCCCTTAGTTCTCGTCCCTGTGTCCTTCCTATTTGTTCCTCCAAACAGCTTGTAATTTATATCAGCTGTTATTATCAGGAAATTGTCTTATTTTTATTTCTATGCTAGTAATCAAATATAAATCAGGGAGTTTGAATCTGCTCTTAGGAACTATTTTTAAGAGATATGGAACTAAAACCCATTTTATTTCTGAAAGTTAGTATAGCTATTATATATATATAACTTTATATATTTATTTCCAGATGATTTCCATTGGGATAGCTACCTGAAAGACACTGGATCTGTAAGTGCTCCTGCAGAGTATTTCAGACAGGTATGCCGAAATCTGTAGTTGTTGAATATATTAATATAAAATATTAACTTGTTGAAAGGTATCTGTGTGATTGTTAGATTCAGGTGGTATGAGGAGATGGTGGGATTGTGATAGTGACATTTAAGAGCCAGATGGTCTCTTTGCATTCATTCATTAAGAATTTACTTAATGTCAGGTATACTAAGCCTTTATGACTGAGTGCCCATCTGGAGGGAAAGACAGACATGTAAATAATTAATTATGAGAAGTATATTGGGAGGGCTCACAGAAGAGGTGCTATCTGAGATGGTTGGAATGAGGGGAAGAATGTCCCAGGTAGAGAGAACATCCAAAAAAAGGCACTTGGATGTAAAAGAACCTAATGTGATGGATGGCATGGGGTGGCTGGAACACAAAGTGGGTAACAGGTAATAGTATAGGAATGAGGGGTTAAAGGTTTGGGGGGCTTTGAAACTGTACTGAGCATTTGGATTTTTATCTTAAATTGTGGTGAGCTGCCAGTTGGTTTATTTCAAGGGGAGTGGCCTAATTGGATTTTTATTTTAGAAAGCCACTTGGGGTACATTTTAGAGGCTGTATCTGGGCTGCCTGGAAGTGGGCAAATGAGTGAGACCAGCAGTTGGCAGTGTTTTTATACTGTATGTCAAGCCAAGGGTAGGGTTTGGAGATCTTTTCCTTGACCTTTAATAGTTCTTAACTTTGCTCACCATCTATTGTAATTGCTACTTAAAATGCTCCTTAAGTATTCTGGTAATATAATCATTTCTTTTTTCATAGTTGATGTATTTTAACAAATTATATTTGTGTATGTACATTATATATGTAGTCCAAGATTCCACCAACTAATAACTTCGAAATTGGTATGAAATTGGAAGCCCGTGATCCTCGCAATGTAACTTCAACTTGTATTGCCACGATCATTGGAGTTAATGGTGCTAGACTGTGTTTACGCCTTGATGGTAGTGATGACAAAAATGATTTTTGGAGACTCGTTGATTCTTCAGACATACAGCCCGTTGGGACATGTGAGAAACAAGGGGATTTACTTCAGCCTCCACTGGGTGAGGATAAACAGTTTTTAAAAGAACATATTCTTGCTAATGTAATATTCAGTAGAAAGAATTTTAATGGCCTTTTAAAAATCTGTTCTCCTAGGCATTCTTGCAAATAGATGGTCAGGTGGTTACTGTGGAGAATCTATGAGAGAGGAACTCATCAGTACCATATGTTAGAGGGTTTCACTCAGTACCCATTTGTCATATGTGTGCTAAAGGCTTCCCACTCCAGGGAAAGACTCATGTTGTCTTCAAATTTGAGATGTCAAAAGCTGCTGTAGTAGATTACACACACAAATTCAGAAATCCTTCTGGGGAAATAGTTTGTAGCATTTGATACAAGTCGATTCCTCTCTCAATATTGTCCACGGAGCCATTCAGCATTTTCAGCATTGGGGTAAGCATAGGGATTCACATGCAGGCTTCAGATGCAAACTTGGGAATTCCATTTCATCTATAGTGGGAGGAAGCCATGGTGTGACGGGTAGGAGTCAGTACCTTTAGGTTTTTGAAAAGCAAGAGATGGATGGAACTTACCAGCAAAGGTTTTTAATTACAGGACTATCTATTTTGACCAAGTTTTAAAAAGGTAAACAGTATATGACTCTAATTTTGGGCAAACTTTTTCTTCTACTACTTAGGTGTACCAGTGTACCATGATATTTTATAGACAATAAGTGATTTCATTTATTTTATCGCTTCTACATTCTGAGTGAGTGATGGGTTCTGGTTTCATTTGTTTCTTCTTTACAGTGCTGAAAATGAAAATTCCCTATTATAAAGCATAATGGGAAAATGGATTTTTTAATTTCCTACTAGTGAAAAATTCCTGATTAGATTCCACTTATAAGTGAGATCATATGGTATTTGTCTTTTACCACTTGGCTTATTTCACTTAGCATAATGCTGTCCAGTTCCATCCACTTATTGTGAAGGGTAGGAGCTCCTTCTCTTTCTCCTGCATAGTATTTCATTGTGTAATTTTACCATAATTTTTTGATCCACTCATTTATTGGTGGGCAGCTATGTTGCTTCCAGCACTTGGCTATTGCAAATTGTGCTGCTGTGAACATTGTGGTACATAGATTCTTTTGAATTGGTGTTTCCAGATTCTTAGGGTATAATCCCAGCAGTGGTATTGCTGGGTCGAACCAAATCAACAAAACAAGCAAGCAAAATATAACCAGAGACACTGAAGTAAAGAACCTGTTGAGTCTATTTTTATAGCATCTGATACAAATTCTAAGAGAAGATAATGTTTAAGATGTGTAAAGATTGCTAAAGTGAGACCTGTATTTTCCTCCAACATGTATTGTATGAAAAATTTCAAACATATAAGGTGAAAGAATTTTACAATGAACACCCACATACCCACTACCTAGGTTCTACCATTTTCATTTTATTATACTTGCTATATCACTTATCTATTTGCCCTTCTATCAATTTTTCAATCCATCTTATTTTTAAATGCATTTCAGAGTAAATTACATCAGTATATTTCCTCTGAATACTGTAGCATGCATATCATTTAGGGTTCCATGTTTATTTGCAGTTTTTTAGGTGAAATTTGCATACAGTGAAGTACACCATCATTAGTGTACATCTGCTAAGTTTGACAGAAAACTGTCTTTTTCTGAAAGGAAATAAGGAAGGGGAAAAAGAGGGGCTAGAAGTCTTTTGCAGCCTTTGCCCTGCTCGTATGGCTGTTGGTGGGAAATGGAAGCTCTCTTGGGTTCTTGCTTGGGTCACCTGAGTGTTATGGCCCATTTCTAACACACATGTGTATGTTGGTAAAATTTAACTAGTGGCTTCTCTAAAATGGGAGTTTCTACCTTTACTGTAGCATTGTTGCCGAACAGTACAGTGGGTACAGTAGCACTGACTGGAGAGTGCAGCTCTTCCTCTTGCCCATTTCCTGAGTTCCTCAATAAGAAAGTCATTCTCTGGAGAACAGTAAATGAAAGCTATTTTTAATACCAACTTGCTTTACTATCATAGGGAGACTTTTTCATGATATCTGATTTAATTTTTTAAATAGGATACCAGATGAATACATTATCTTGGCCAATGTTCCTCTTGCGAACACTGGATGGAGCTGAAATGGCACCTGCAAGATTCTTCAAGGAGGTAAGAAAGGATTTTTAAAGATATTCCATCAGTTGGGCTATGGTTTTATTGTTTTAGTGGGACCATATAAATACTGTGTCTTCTCTGACATGAGAAAGCAAAAATGTTTTTTTAATTACTGGGTTGGAAAGTGTATTAATCTGCTAGGCTGACATAACAAAATACCACAGACTGGGTGGCTTAAGCAAAGAAATTTATTTTTTCACAGTTCTGGAGGCCAGAAGCGCAACATTAAAGTGCCATCAGGGTTGCTTTGTAGCGAGGACTTTCTCCCCTGCTTGTAGATGGCTGCCTTTTTTCTATGTTTTCACATGGCCTCACAGAGGGAGAGGAATCTCTGGTTTCTCTTCTTTTTCTTGTAAGAACAACAGTCCTGTTGGATTATGGCCCTAACCTTATGACCTCACTTAAACTTTTATCACCTTCTTAAAAGCTCTATCCCTAAATAAGTCACATTGGGGGTTAAGACTTCAATTGGTGAATTTTGGGAGGACATACTAAGTCCATAACATTAGCTTAAACAACAGAAATTTATTTTTCTCAAAGCTCTGGAGGCTAAAAGTTTGAGATCAAGGTGTCATCAGGATTGATTCCTTTGAGGCCTCTCTCCTTGGCTTGTAGGTGGTGGGAGCACACAATTCAGCCCATAAGAGCAACTCATAAAGAAAGCTCAATTATTATCATCCACTAGTCAAAATGAATTAGTACCCTCTTTCCCTCCCTCCCTTTTCTTTCTTGTCTTTTTCCATTACAGTTTATCCCCCTGGCAGTCATGACTCTGTTGTCCATGTCCATGAGTCCTTTTTTCCTTTTGGTGTAATCCCTTCACCTCCTATTCGCCCCCCCCAGTAGCTGTCATTCTACTTCCTATCTATGAGTCTGTCTCTATTTCTCCTGTTAGTTCAATTTGTTCATTAGATTCTACATATGAGTGAAATCATATGGTATTTGTCTTTCTCTGACCTGCATATTTTACTTAGCATAATGTTCTCTAGGTCCATATATGCTGTCAACAAAGGGTAAAAGTTTCCTTTTTTACAGCCAAGTAGTATTCCATTCTGTAAATGTCTCATACTTGTTTTATCCATTCATCTACCGATGGACACTTGGGTTACTTCTAAATCTTGGTGACTGTAAATAACCTGCAGTGAACATAGGGGTGCTTCTGTTTTTTTCAGATTAGCGTTTTGGGATTGCTAGGTCAAAGGGCAGATCCATTTTTAATTTTTGAGGTATCTCCACTCTGCTTTCCACAGTGGTTGCACCAGCCTTCATTTCCACCAACAGTGCAAAGTACCCTCTTTCTTCCACACCCAAACTGGGGATTGTGTGTGCCCAGACCAGGATTGAACCCACAACCCAGGCATGCACCCTGACCAGGATTCAGACCCTCAACCTTTTGGTTACCAGATGACACTTCAACCAACTGAACCACACTGGCCAGGGTTCAGTCACTTAAATTTTATTACAACTACTTATATTAGGAATGATACACATATATTGTAGTTCTCAAAGACTTTTGAAGAACATTAAGGACATAAGGATGTGGTAGACACATTAATTAATGTGACTTTCTGCATTGCAAAAAAAATATATTTCAGTGCACTTTTGAGCAGCATGAATGCTAAAAGTAAGCTGCTCTACCAGCAAGGAATAGGCAAATGCAAGCCCTTTGGATAATGTGTAAAGCATATGTGAAAATAGCTAATAATAGGAAATGTTTAGCAATAGTTTTTATTAAACACCTATTAGCTTGGGCTATGGCTTTAGAAAAGCCATTGAATTTATTTTACTTATCATTTTATCATCTAGTCACAAGCCAAATGTCATACACATTATCAAACTATATACTTAGCCAGAATGATGAATGAGTATCCTTTTATCTTGTCTATTCCTCTATTCTACTGTTCTCTCCAAATTGAAGTTGTATTTGTGTTATTCCAGACCTTTTTCTGTGCATTCACAAACATAAGTGGGCTTTTATTTTTAAGCATAAATTGGAATATATTGTGTATATTCTGTGATTTAGTTTTCCTCCTAGATTATGTATGTATATTGGAAATCTTTACATTTCAATTTATTTGTATTTTAGGTTGTATTGTACTATTTTGTAGTATGCATAACCGTAATTGATTTAACTTCTGCCTAAAGATGGATGCTTAGGTTCTCTCCATATTCTTGTTTAAATCATCTACAGTGAGCATTCTTGCATAGGGCTTTTTATGTAACGTGCACAACTATGTTCTTGGAAGTAGAATTGCTGGTTCAAGGGGAATATATGTTCTAAGTATTGATACATACTGTTAAATTGCATTCCAAAAGCATATGCCAAGCTGTGCACCCCTACTAGTGTATAGGTATGTTTGTATTCCCACACATTCACTAACACTGAATGTTATCAATCTTTTAAAGTTTTGTGAATCTTTTTTTTTTTTTGGAAGGCAGGGACAGGGATGGTATCCCTTTGTCATAATTTTCATTGAACTGATTACCACTGAAATTGAGCTTTTAAAATGTGTTTAATGGCCTTTTATTCTTTTGTGAATTGCCTGATTATATTGCTTTATCCTGTTTTTTTATTGAATTTCTCCTTACTCTTAACTGATTTGTGGGTGCTTTTTTCAGCCAAGCTTGTAGGAGCTGTCCTCACTCCTTCTTGACACTGGCCTCTGGATAGCCAATATAAAGGCCCGCCCACTTAGCTTCCTAATTATTTCTTTGTTGTGCCTCTTCTTTCTAACCTTAACCACCATTGCCCCTGGTACAAGTTTTCCTTTTTGCTGGGCTGTTTAGTCATATAACTGCCTCTGATCTTCACCTTTCCATACAGCTGCTAGAAATACCTGACACAGAAGCTTTACCACATCATTCCCCTGCTTGAAACTCTTTTGAAGTTCCCAGTTGCACTCAGGATGAAGTATCTTTGTTAATATGGCCTTTGAGGTACCATATGATCTGGTTTATGGCCGCTACTTCTTGCTTTGGATTTTACATTCTAAATTGCTTGTAATAAAACTGTTGATGTCATGTTTCTTTTTAGAGCTTGTTATGTCTGATTAACTCTCATTTTTTCTTTTAAGATTCAAGTCCGGTAGTAAATCCTCCGAAATACTTTCCCTAATTCCCTCTCTTCAATCTTACTCTTTTGTAGCACTGTTTTTACATATCTCGACTTTTGTAGGTTTTGGGTTATAGTATTATTTTCACTCTCTTGCTTCCTACACTAAGTTCTTCTTGAACAGTTAAAATGTTTTTGTATTCTCGCTGCCCATCATTGGTCTTAGTACATACTTATTTTGTTAAATGAATGAAAATAGGTTAGGAAGCACAGAAAGATGAGTATACATGTAGAGGAAGAAGATGGGTTTTGTTTGGGATATGTTGGGGTGCCTCTGGGAAATTTGAGGAAGGATTACTACCACCAGACTCTTGGAAGTGAAGTGTTTAGAAATTAGAAACAAGGTTTTGTTTGAGTAGGTGCATTTGGGAGTTTTTAGTTTAAATGGTAGTCGTGGAAGCCTTGAGCATGAATGAGCTAGTTCAGAATATATAGGAGAAGAGAGGACTATCAATGTTAGAACCTTGAGAAATACCCCTCAGCTTTATAATGTATAAATACTCATAGTAGGTACTTAATAGAGTCAGTTAAGAACAAAGCTAATTCTTTGCTATTTGGTGCTTAAGAAGTTCATCAGTTACATGAGCAAGAACTAAAGACCAGCTGAACTGTGTACTCAGATATAGTTAAATTGTAATTGTGGGTCAGAACATTGATAGAGCCCATTGCTGATAGCCTCAATTTACTACTCTGTGAAACAGGAAACTGCCAAAGCTGGAGGGGAGGACTCATACATAGACTGAATGTCTACTGTGTTCTAATACTACTGAGGCAGAGAGCTTCTTCTCTGGTTGTTAAGAATGTCAGTTAAAAAAAATAAAATAATAAACATATAATGAGGATACATTATTAGTCTTAAGGTGAATGGCAGAGGTTTGGAATAGCTTCTGTATGGGATGGGAGAGGTAACAGCTTAGGGATACATGACAGTATTTTGGATGGTTCAGCTAAAAATGAAGACTAAATATATATAGCACTACATGTAATGAGTATATGGCACTTTTCTCCAGACGTGGTCAACAGCCATATATATATATATATATATATATATATATATATATATATAGTAGATTATGATATTGAACTAAGATTTGGAGATAATAGAACAAGCATAAGGGGATAAGTTGGTTTTGGGTGCTGGGAAGAAACTGGTGACATGATTCTCTTAATCTGGACTTCAGAAGGTGTGATAAAATGTTAGAATGTTTGGTCCTCTTCTTCTTTTTTAAAAAATATTTAATTTATTTTAATTGTTGTTCAAGTACAGTTTTCTGTCTTTTACTCCCATCCTAGCCCAGCCCCCCAGTGCTCCCCACCTCCTTCCCATTTCCACCCCACTTAGTTCTTGTCCATGTGTCCTTTATACTACTAGTTCCTGTAAACCCTTCCCCCTTTCCCCTCAAATTCCCTTCTCTCTCCCCTCTGGTCCCTGTCAGCCTGTTCTCTTATTTCAGTGTCTTTGGTTATATTTTGCTTGCTTGCTTGTTTTGTTGTTTAGCTTCCTGTTAAAGGTGAGATCATATGGTATTTGTCTTTCACCACCTGGTTTTTTTCACTCAGCATAACACTTTCCAGTTCCATCCATGCTGTTGCAAAGGGTAGGAGCTCCTTCTTTCTTTATGCTGCATACAATTCCATTGTGTAAATGTACCATAGTTTTTTGATCCATTCTTTTACTGATGGGCACCTAGGTTGCTTCCAGCACTTGGCTATTGTAAATTGTGTTGCTATGGACATTGGGGTGCATAGGTTCTTTTGGATTGCTGTTTCAGGGTTCTTAGGATATAATCCTAGCAGTGGAATTTCTGGGTCAAAAGGCAGATTCATTTTTAGTTTTCTGAGAAAATTCCATACTGTTTTCCATAATGATTGTACCAGTCTG